GACAGTAGATTTTGAGCAACATAGTTATAAAAATAGCATTCTAACATCGTCTGAATTTGAATAAACCTGTCTTTATCTGACTACAAACTGATGAACAAAAGTGGTATATTTATGATGCGAACTGATGATTAATTAATCGTTTAGCTAAGTGCAAAAACAAACATTAAGAATCATTCAGTCCATCGGATAATACTCGTTAAATTATAAATGATGATTTGCACAATAAAGTATTTCCTGTAAACACTGTATACCCTATTATGCTAGATTAAAAGTGTGCTAACAGACTGATCATAAACAGGTAAGAAACAATCATTCTTGTTTACAAAGTTACTGACGATATTTTACTTCAAACCATAATCATTTGTAATTTCCAATCACAACCACTATTATATTATTTAATATAAACGATACAATGATGAGGTAAATAATTTCTCAAAACAATCCGATATGAAAAAAACAGATTGTACATTCAAACATGTTAGTTCTTGTTTTTCAGTATACAGTCCAAACTGATCTTAACTAGACAACCATTAAAACCCAGAAAGCACTGTACGACCGTTTTATATTTTTCTTTGACTCATTACTAGCATGCATCCACTACAGTCCTTTAGGTAGGTCCGTAATGTAAGACATTAAAGTCGGAAACCTTTTCTCTGTAGTAATAATAAAAAACTCATTAGTGAATATTTTCGATACGCATTTCCAGTGTTTATCATGAGAGAATGTAACCAGTAAAGTTTAAGCATACTACAGTTGCACAGATAACAACCAATTCCATTAGTGAGTGGTTTCATAATATCGAGAATCAGTTGAAATTAGATGTGTAGGTCACTAAATCCCGAACCAACAGTTTGATGGATTTGGTACTCACCAGAAAACCCGATTCTCATGAGTATGACCCTTGCTAGGGTAATGGTTGAGAAATGTCGAAGATTACCACTCTAAGACAAATAGCTATCCGTTCCCTACAAATCGCTTTATACCGAATTAAGTTCGTTACTAGTATATATTTAACGATTTTCATTTGCACTATTGATGAGTAGTATAATTAATTTTGAAAAACGTGTGGCCATGGTTCTTCAGTTACCATCAAATACATTCTTACAAACAATTCAGTTATGGCTGGCAGTAACGTATGTTTGATAACGAATAATTTCACCCATACCGTAAACATTTCGAAGTAAATAAACTAAATTATTTTGTCTTTGTTCAATATAATCAAAAATTTATTAAGTGGAGGCATGTTTTAATATTACTCTACATTAACTGCAAATTTATACACGTTTTCTCGAAAATCCAAGTGACGTTTAGTAATCTTTGAAATCTTTAGACGTCATTAGCTTCTTCTGACCTGGATTCAACTATGTTACCCAATAGCTGAGAACATTGATAATAGCTTAGAGACTGAATTAAAGTGGCTTCCTGAATCACTACATTGGTCTCGTTATGTCGAACAAATTGCTCGTTAAGATATCAAAAATGGGCATTACACAATTGATGTTACTTCTATTTGTGTTGAGCAATTTATTTGTTCACGTTGAAGAACAAATTAAAAGAAAAGGAAAGATAGTTGTTATTCGCATTTCAGAGAATGTTCCTCGAAAATCGAGACTAAGAGGTCAATATACTTCTGATGGTGCTATCCTCTATCATTTACTTGATAGTGGACAAAAAGTTGACATTTCAAGGTCATTCAAAATTACCAATAAGAAAACAGCTTTGAAATTTTCGCATTTTGCCGAAATCAAAAGGTTTAGACTGGATTAATGTATTCAGAAAGAGACTGCTATCAATCATTTACTGGTTCAATTACATTTAATTGTGTAACATCTCATTTTGTATTTGTAATTACAAATTTATTTCATCCAGACTATCTTAAATCTTATCCGAGCTTTATTCGTCTTCATATGGTCAGTTCTGTCATGTTTCAGTTATTGTTATGTAATTTTTGACGTTACTTTTGTCTTCTATAGGAAAATATCTATCCAAATGAACATCACTTAAAATTCTTATAAACTTATCGTATTCCTGTCATTCTTCACTTGAGAACTTTTCCAAGTATGTACAGTCCTGTAGCTTAGTAACTAATATTACTAGTTCCAGATTGTAAGTAGATAAAGAGAAATCATGAAATAAATGAATTCATGTTGTGCTGTTACGTTTGTTCATAATTTACGTAAATTTGACGTCAGCCTATTCATATTTCTTACCTATGAGTGCACGTGATCATGTTCATTGCTACTGATTGGTCTAGAAAGGAACATTTTCTCTTACTTAGGATCCTTGTTCGAATGTCAGCTTCCTCGGGTGAACGCAGGGTACAGACGAATACTAGGCATTTAAACTGGTCTTCTGTCATGGAAGACAACTTGAACCTCTCACATTCTCAATTCCCGATTCCCTCATGTTTTGCCCAGTCATCTCTTGGTTCTTTCGTCATCTCCAAGCATTGGTAACGGATATTAGATAGAGATGACTGTTCTCCAAAGATATGAGATAAAATTTTAATTGTTTCATCAAAGTCTCATGGGAAGAACAAAGTTACTATAGCGTTCATGTCCCGTTATCCTAAGTGTTCTTAAAAGTATTCAGACTTTTGAGGCGTCATCCAGTCTACAGAGATCAATATGCAACAGATCTTCATATTTCTTAAACCAAGAGTCAAAAGTAACAGCTGCTACACCATCAAAGTCAAATTCATGGATTGCATTAGTGACTGAATTAATAGGGATACTTGTAGTTCACCAGAAGCAGGGTTTTGCTGGGGCAGACACATTTTCTGCATAAGGGCTTCCATGATTCAGATTTGAGACTGTTCAAACTGCTTCTCTTGACCTACATATAGGCTTCTAGGAGCCCCAAAGAAATATTCATTTTAGTTTTCACCGTCGTCATGAAAGGTCTTCTAATTGTACGCTAGATTGAGTTCCTAAGCTCTTCTAGTAACCCCCAGGCTAAATCTACATAGCAACTTGAACACGAGAGAAAAGGTTCGAAATATGGAAGAAACACATTATTCCAAAGGTTTTTGTTTATGTACAGAAAATCTATGGTTTTTATAGTATTTTTGATGGTCTTGGGTCTCCGGAAAATTCTGGAATGATACTAAACATGGTAGCAGTATGGGTAATCATCCAATCAGAAACTGGACATGTGACTTTTCACTTTCTGAATGTTTCTGGCGAAATTTCTAGTGAATGCTAATTTGATAAGGTGCTCTCAACGTCTTCAGAGCCTTTTTCAACTTTTTTCGAGTTTTCTTGATCTCCCCAACAAATATTTAAGTCTTTTTGACGGTAGTAGCTTATGATGTTAACATAACCACATATAAAGGCATTGTATAATAGTTTAATATATTGATAGACTCCATTCGTTATTTGCTTATTAGCCATTATAATCAAGGTATGACAATATGATGTATGTAAAAGTTTGATATCAGAATTACTACAATAAATTGGATTGAAAATATACATTATTTGTATAGAAAGCATATAACACTGCTTGAATCTTTCAACAATTACTTAGCTCAACATATTATCTCATCATTATATCTACTCCGGAATCATATAAATGACAATAGTCCCCTGTAGAAAACGAAATATCGCGAAAACCTGCTTTTTTTAACTTTGATGATCAACGAATTTATGATGGTGTCTAGATTAAAAAAGATCAATATACAAGTCAGTTATATAATGAACTTAATGTGTACAATTTAACATTTTTCATTCAGTAATTACCTGATTTCTGATGTCCATAGTTTTCATATAAAATCGTAGGATAATTAGTTTAGTGAACGAAAGAGTTCATATTAAGAGTTGTTCAACCATTCATTAATAATAATTGATTGTTTTAACGAACAAACAGTAAATATTTCGGCGAGACTATAATTTATGGACAAACCAATCAGGTTTAAGATGACAGGTCTCGGATTTTGGCATGAAATTCACTCAGTCATTTGGTTAAATAGAGTTTTGGCATTATAGCTGAGGTCAGTTCGCGATGAAAACCCTAAGTCTAGTTCCTAATCTTCACCATTAACTGTAAATCACAATTCTAATTCCTCACGCTGGTTTATAACTTTCGTTTGGTCCTAGTTATTAGGTGGATACTCTCAAGGTCACTTTAGCGTCACTCGAAGGTAGTCCATAAATTATAAACTCACCAATATCTCTTTACTAACATTTTTAATGAAAAGAATTTCAATTAAAAGTTAATTTACGTTGAAGAATAACTTTAATTGTAAAATGAAGCGGTTTTTACTTCTTAGTTTCAGACTATTCTATAGTTTTTATTTTAACACATAGATATTGGTACAAGGAGGCACCAAATACATATGCGCTACACAAATCTCATTCAATATGTGTGAGGGCTGTGATACTGCCCTATTCTATAGTGTGCATCTGAAGTATCACGAGAGAGTAAAAACCATAATAATTGTGTATCACTGGAGAGTATTATGACCATTCAGTTGGCATTGCACGGTTTTTTAATTCTTTTGTCTTCCGAACCTCAATCAGAATAAGAAAAAGACATATGATTTGCCAGTTAATTATGTGACTTTAAAACTCACACGATTATATACATAACTTACAAGATTCTAATTCATTACAAATAGGGAATCACAGTGTGTACCTATCTAAGACTCGGAAACTATGGGATCTAGTTTTTAACCTTAATGGGAGCACAAGTTTTCTCACAAATGCAAGTGAGCCTTTCTGACAAATACCAAATAGCACGAAACCAAGGTTTAGAACTCTCTTCCAACAATATCCAACCAACTAACATGATTAGTATAAACTTATCTATTAAGATTCTCCATCCTAAATTCAATCATGTTAGCAACAATTCATCTGTAGATTTATTGCAAACCATACCAACTACCAAAGAATTAGAACTGTATCTCATAAACATACTACTGTAACCTCTTACACAAATATTTTATTTGCTTTCAACCGTGTTCTCTAAGACCAAAAACAAAATAAATAAGCAAACCTGAAACTAATTCTCTGATAACTGTGTTTATATTTTAGTAAAGTTAACAAGATCAAATTTCAGTAGTCATCAAAAAAATAAGTTTAGTAATATGTGCATAGATGTATGTGTTAATGTCCTTATGTATTTATGTGTGAATGTGATTTTATTAGTAATTATATCTCTGAATGATGGTACAATAATTTACAAAGGGATTTTTGTTAAACCATTGCCAAGCAAATAACTATTGCCATTATAACAACATAAATAGAAAGTACAGAGATAGCAACCTTAGCTTCTCTTCTTTTTTTTGTACTTTTACGACGTTATTTTTCTTCGTTAGTATAAAAAGTACAATGAATAAAAGTAGATTCGAATCAAGCACTTAACCGTAGATTGTTGATTAAACATTCCATGAAGATCAAATCCCTATTTTCTTCTAATTGTTTACATCAGAGTAATCAATTAAATTCAACGAAAAAGAAGCAGTATGCCAGATGCTGCGTCAATGCTCAATATTCAGTGTTGTCATGGTAAAATCACTTGATGATTGTGACCAATTCATAATACGACTATGAAAACAGTTAAGAATGGTTATGCTTAAGTAGAAGTCATCACTGTATGCCATTTATGTTGAATAATAAAATAATTGCTTTCAACTGTGAAACTAAGAAGAATAAGGATTACATCTAAATGAACATAACAGAACAACTAATACATTCATTAGAAACCGAAATATAAGTATATCATTTCATAAATTGAAAACTCTATGATGCAAATGGATTCAAATTTGGCGGTGCTACAACACCCATATTTAAATTATTTTCAGAAAATAAATAATCTGAACGACTTAGACATAAATTAGAATGATGACAATCGATATGGCCATTTGATATACAGAAGCTAGTTTTTATACTTTTAAATATGTTATCATCAGTGCAATTTTTAGAAGATTGATCAAACAAATGGATTTGTTGCTTATCTTGTTGTTGGTTCTTTTCACAATGTGCATGAACGTTTTTTCGTTGACTTAAAATATCACGTACACTTGGTCGCCGTGAAACTGCATGAGGATAAATTTCATTCAGATTGATTTTACAACTTTCAATCTCACTCTGTTTGTTTCTTTTTGAATATTGCTGTGAATAACCATGGACTGGAGAGTTTCTCATGTGAGATTTGCTATTAAATAAACATAGGTGAATCTTCTGCTCTCCCACCTAAATAAATTAAAGTAGAAAACAAATTTAACATAAAAGAGAAACTATTCGTCGTAAGATACATTAGTCACTTGCTTTTCTGTCGACCTACTTATAAGTAGTATAAAATTGTAAGGAAAAGTATATCAGGTTGAAGTTACAGGAAGCTTCAGGAAATCTCCATGTTAGTTTTCAGTATAATTTATAAACGTTTCTCGATAGGATGGATAGAAATTTTATCCTGAATTCTTGTTCCATTCATCATCCTACCATTTGTATATGTATTTCACGATTTACATAATAAGTTTATAAAAATGGGAAAACTGAATCATAAATACCGTGTATAAGTTTTCAAACTTCTATTCACTAGATAGAACATACCATGTTAAAGTATAAACATATTTATATTCATATAGTTTTTTTTATCTGAGCTACCCGAAGTTCTAATAAACCTTTAAGTGAACTTATCAAAACGTAACAAACTTTGAAACGAATGCTTCAATTACAACCCTGTGTCTGTGAGTGATTCAGTGTAAAATTAAACTCAGACCTCCTCCTGGTGTTCTGTTGATCAAGGGGCCTCGCCTTATGAACTGCCATGAGTGGTCGATGGAGATCAGTCAAGTCAACCACTATCTTCGTGAAACCACGTTTATCTCGTGATGGACGAACACTGGGTGGAGCATATATGCTTATGTATCCTATTTGAGATTCATGAGGCGATTTGATTTGTATCTTTAAGGTGTGTACATAGTATGTGTTTCAGGAAAAGTCCTCTGAGAAGGACTTTATTTATACTTTCCTGATAGTACATGCGTCTCTTACCCAGTATTCTACGTATAAATATAATGTGTAGTTACATAACTGTGATTTAGTGCTACATGTTGTCTATCTTTATATGGAAATTGAGTACAATTTATATTTGTCCCAAGGACTAGCTTGTATCTACACCGTTCAACCTCAGTAGCAAATACTATCTGTTGTATTGGAGAAAATCTTACTCTATCGAAGTAGCATCTATACCAGTGTTTATTCTGTGGAATACAACAAAAGTCCATTTAGATTGAATCTTTCAGATGTCCATGAACGTATACTTATCACAAAGAGTGGTTTCCATCTTCTCTCTTGAACACAGTAGTAAATCCTAACAGTCGTCTCTAGGGGTTTTCTGACCAGTTCAGCACCCAAAACATATCTTAACCCGGGTATTTAGGCCCGCGGTAATGCATAAACACTTTCAGAAAATTCAATCGAATTATCCAATGCAGGGTTTACTAAGTTTCCTTGCTGAAAAAGGCACAGCAGTCGTGTGAAATTTATGTAAAGATTTAACTACGTCTCATATCGATTGAAACAGGGACTATCTATAATATTTGTTTGTAAAGTTAATTAAATTTAGATACGATAAAAGACTTATCAAAGTTTACTGCACTTAACATTCAGCTTCGACGATAAGTGGATTAGACACGCAAGTTAATTAATAACTGTTCAGTTCAATACAAATGAGGTTTGATAAAACCCCAATTCAGCATAACTGATCGTATCTGAGCAAGTGAAACCAAGAAAAGAGAGGTGAAACTGCTAAACGAAATACTGACAGGGAATAGGTATCATCTGAAGTTAATAAACCAATGAATATGCTACAAAAATTTAACAACTAGTCTGTTTCTGGTATCAGAACGGTCCATCTTCATCAATCTACCATATACAGGATGAATCTGATGCGTAGAAGATATTTCAATTTAACCGTGTGAAATTAACCAGTCTATTTCATCACATTTCCTCAGTTTTACTTTGACCTTAGGTTGTCTTGATGTTATTTGTTCATTTAGTATACATATGAAATCTATGAATTTATTCTAGTAAAGCAGGGACTTCACCTCATCAACTTCGTCATGATTTTCAAGTCAACTGCGATTTTAAGGGCTTGTACAATTACTAGTCTACGTTTTAGTTGATTAAAGCCGGCTAATAAGTCCATTTATCTGGCTTTGAGCTACACGTTTATGTAAAGACTAATAACACTATCCGACTTCCCAAATATACGTAACCAAAGTGGGCTTCAAACTTAGAAACTAGTGGGTTGAATTCAAGTATTTTAATAACCAGGTCACAACTTCATTGTCAAAAAATATTGTATCTCAAGTCTAGTCCATATATATAGACAATTGGTTAGCTAGTAAGTTTTTATTTGCTTATATCTGTGGTTTTTATGTCTTCATCTGTTTGGTTTAGTCTTCTTTTTTTCATACATACACATTTTAACAAAATAATTTGTGGTAAGATTTTTGCTGGAAATGAATTAAGCTAATAAATATCAGATGATTCTGATAAACCGCCTTTTTCATTGGATCATTCAATTTACATACAGGAACATACTGATTTTGGTGGATTCTGATTTTCTAAGCTGAGTGGAGTATTCATAAAGTTTTCACTATTTTTCTCAACAACATTATTAGCATAAACGTCAAATAAAAGTGAGCTATTCAAAATTTTCTACAAATGACTAACACCTTGTTCTGTCAATCTTGAGTGTGATTGTCGATTGTTTACACTCGTCCTATGATTAGCATCAGATTTTATTCTTTTAAACACATAAATAGTCAAAAGGAAAATTTCCTGATTTAATAAATTATTCGGGTAATGTTCCATACTACAAAATACATAAAAATAAACTGTTATGGTGTTCCACTCAAAAAGGATCATGGAATCATTATCCTCGAAACATCTAGCTCAAAGGGAATAAAACATCATCAACATACAGGTAGACTTCAGCCTTCGGAAAAACAGCTAACTATTAAAGGTGCGTGGAAAGACTTAATGGTGCGGTGTTCGATCTAGGTTGAGGTTGTGAACATGGACTGATGAAAAATTCTATATTAAAATGAACCAGTTGTCCAGTTTCGAATAATACACTAACGATTATCGATCCTTGGCGAGTACAACCTGCAAATGAGACGAAACATCTCAATTAAAACTTGAATACGTCGAGTGATTTTCACTTGTGAATTCTATTTTTTTCTCTTTTTCTCAGTATCCAAAAAAATAAACATACTAAAGGATAAAAAACAAAAATGTTTACATACTGATAGGCATAATATGACAATTTGTCTGAAATCAGAGACTTCACTCGATCTAAACTCAGTGATTATTCTCACTCTCTCTCTCTCTCTTCATTAAAATCTGTCTATCTATATGTCAGTGAGTCTGAACAAGGTAGAAACGGTGTTTTAATCAAAAGTTCCCTTTATCTTAAAAAGAATAACTTCATTTCATTATTTATTTGTCTAGACATCTAGAAAAAAACGTTAATCAGCTGTATATATATATATATATATATATATATATATATATATATATATATATATATATATATGTAGAATTAATGTTATGAAAAGAATAATAAAACACAATTGTTTGCTAAAAATCAAGACGGAAAACATTCACAATCATAAAATTAAACTGATCGCAATTTTCTACTACTTTTCATCTAAACATGAATATAAATGAACACTGGCATCTATCTACCTTAACTGTCTCTCTATGTCATTGTAGTACATTTTATGTCAAGCATATAGGTGTATACTTTTATGATTCACTATATCCTCATTTTCAATCATTCTTATTATATAATCTGAACTTGATATTGAATGGAATTAATTAACTGATTAATCCATTGGTAATTTGAAGTATATAAATCACAAAATTATCTTAGATCTTCGTGAATATTATATTGACTTTTTCTTGGTTAAGTAGATTGCAGCTAGCAATAAAATCCATGAAATTCATTTCGTTCTATTTGAGACTCGTCTACTGAATGAATCTTATTGTTGATGTTCTACTGTATGTGACTATCTAACATTATTTAAAATTTGTTATTAAAATGTGATATCGTGGGAATGCGTTTAAGATTCACATATTCTAATAAAGATTGATTAATTGCTGTTTTAACAGCAACAGGAAAATGTAAACACTCAAAATTATTGGTTGTTGTTAAACCTGGTCGTCTTCGCAACTCGCGGTTAAGAAATTTTGAAATTCATTAAAAGCTTACTAATCCATATATTCCCAATATTAAATCAATATTGTATTTTTATTAAGTTGAGGATAAAAATCACTCCTAAAAGATAAATTGAACGGTTCTTCTTATTCCATTTTTGGCAGATTATTATTTTGAAATATGACTTACATTAGTTAAGGACAAACATTGAAAGTAAGATAGCATTGAACAATTGATTTATCATAAGTTCTGGATTACTAAGCGATTGGAATGTGCTTACGTAACAAATGGGATTGAAGTAAGACCCATAGGTCGTTGTAACGAATACGTATACCTCAATGCCACTAAATACGCATTATGTTTTTTTCGATTCACTGGAATTGTATGCTTTTTTTATTTTACTGTTCTGTATATGTCAGTTTGACTTTACTTCAATTCAAAATAGAGATCAGCTTCTATTTAGAAAAAGCATCATACTATAGACACATAGTAACAAAAAAACTATTTAAAAACCGATCTGATTTTGTTTGGACAGTTTACTCTTACCTTTATCATTATTTAAGACATTATGATTTTTATCAGTGATAAGCATTCCATTTGGTATACGTTGGTAAGAAAAACGTCTAATCGTTGTTTTTCTTTTACTCTAAATAAATGTTTGTCAGAGATTAATTTACATTTTGAAAATGGATTTTATTGTGAAATGATATCAGCTGAAAGTTATTTTTGAAAACTTAGAAACACTAGACAACTTTTGACTCTAGTTGGAGATATGGCAGTACAGCATACTTATGAGTTGATATAATACTAATAGTTACAATAGTTACAATAATTTACGCAAATGAAATCTTCATTATGTCGTTAAGATATGGAAATGACACAGTATGGATATAAAGAGATGTCAGAATTTTATCCTTTGTAATAATTATTATGTTGATTCAGTAAACTAAAAAAGAATAAGTCATATTTTCTTAGTCCATGTTTAAATCTCAGGTAAATTATGTTTACCAGAAAAATGACT